TAGGGAAAGTGTTCCAACCCTTTTGTCGTGCTATAGAGTGACCCTCCCAAAGTGGCCATTTTCTTCAGGGGAACTGATCTCTGTCGTAATCCCATGGAGATCTCCAGCCACCACCTGGGGATCGGTGCCTGCAAGGCATTAGGAAAAGGAGCGTTGCAGGCGGCAGTGGAGGCAGGCCAGCCAGTGCAGGGCTGGGCTCAGAATATCTTGGGCCACTCCTTCCTGCTTCCTGCTCGCTCACAGAGGGTTGCTCATGCCCAGGGCTTTTTTTGTAGAAAAAGCCCAGCAGGAACTCATTAGCATAATAGGCCATACCCAACAGCAGGAACTCATTAGCATATTAGGCCACACCCTGACAGCACAGCTCATTAGCACATTAGGCCACACCCCCGTGTTACCAGAAGTGTGGTCATCCAGCCACACCCACCTATTGCTTCTTATTCTCTTTACCTTGTTTGTTGTCAAAACCCAGGGCTTTTTGGCATGTTAGGCCACACACCCCTAATTGTAGCCAATCCTAATGAGTTCCTGCTGTTGAGTGTGGCCTATTATGCTAATGAGTTCCTGCTGGGCGTGGCCAGCTTGGGAGCCAGCCGGAACTCCATCCCTGTGCGTTCCTGCCCAAAAATAGCCCTGCCTGCAAGGCATTAGGAAAAGGAGCATTGCAGGCGGCAGTGGAGGCATGCATGCCAGTGCAGGGCTGGGCTCAGAATATCTTGGGCCACTCCTGCCTACTTCCTGCTCGCTCACAGAGGGTCGCTCACGCCATTTCCCTTCTCCTCCCTTCTCCATCCAGCTCTGAAGAAGCTGAGAGGCTGGGATGACGTGGAGGACGAGATGGAAGAGATGAGGAAGGAAGACCAGGTGGAGAAGGCCGAAGGGAAGATGTCCGTCTGCGCCCTTTTCACCTACCGAGGCCTTCGGTGGCAACTTATCTCTATCATCGTCATGATGATGGGCCAGCAGCTCTCCGGAGTTAACGGGGTAAACAAGAGACCGGCTTGAGTGATATTTGAGGGCGAGGGAGGAAAATAATAGAGGAAATAAGGACTGTAACTGAGCATAATAGACAAAACCCCAGAAGCACTACTCTTGAATCTCAGAGACGAAACTGCTCTATCTCTAACACTTAAGGAAAGAATCAGCCTATTACTGTTTGCAGCTAAAACCGCAATTGCATCCACATGGAAGTCCCAAAGCACTCTGAACGTAAACCTCTGGTACAAGAAACTATGGAATCTATACGTAATGGGAAAAAACCACAGATATCTTTAAACAAATCAAACCCCAAGGAGAACACAATGATACTACGTGTATATGGTCTCCTATCTTATCATACCTAACTACGAAAGATTCAATACCCGATGTAATAGGTACTGTTCGCCTTTTGTGGCGTTTATAGCACAATACACAGTTTGATATATGAACTGTACGGAAAGAATCCTCACCACAGTATAGATTAGATTGATTAAAGCCCTTTTTGTATGTATAACGAAAAATATGTTAATTATATGTATATGCCTATCTTGCATAACCCTGTTGTTAATGAGAAAATTGGATAAAACTGATTGGGGTGGGGGGAAGAAAGAACTGCAGATCTGGGAGGGGCCTGTGGACGGCGAGCCCAGTTCCTCCTAGCTGGAGGGATTTGGCAGAGGCTCAGAGGCCCATCGACCCTTGCTGTTCACTGCGATGGCTGAATGGAACCTCCAGCTTCAGAGGCAGTGTACCTCTGAATACTGGTTGCTCAGGAGCAACACTCTTGTCTTCACACCCTGTTTGTGAGCATCAAGGGAGCAAGCAGTTTGCCTCTGCTGGGGCTGACCTGACCTGGATGGCCCAGGCTGGCTGGATTCTCATCAGATCTCAGAAGCTAAGCAGGGTCGGCCCTGGTTAAGTACTTGGATGGGAGCCCACCAGTGCTCCCTCTAAGCTGTGGAGTCTTGTGAGCAAAAATCCTACTTGGTGAGCGACTGGCATTAAACTTGTGAGCGAGCGATTGGGCTGCTGCATCAATTAGTTTGCTCTGGAGCCCTATCCTTCCTGAGCTGAGACCAAAAGGGGTGAGCCGGAGGCTAAAAAAACTGTGAGCTGGCTCACACTAACTCAGCTTAGAGGGAACGCTGGAGACCACCAAAGAAGTCCAGGGTTGCTATGCAGAGACAGGCAAGGGCGAGCCACCTCTGAACGCCTCTTGCTTTGAAAAACCCTACGGGGTCGCTGTAGGTTGGCTGGAGCTTGACAGCACTTTCCACCGCCCTCAGCAGGGCTGTGGTTACGTTCCTTATATGGGATAGGCGTGGACTGACTGATGGTTTGGGCCTGCAGGTATACTACTATGCCGACAGTATCTACGAGAACGCTGGAGTGAAGAAAGACGATGTGCAGTTTGTCACTGTGGGAACAGGCGCCGTAAATGTCGTCATGACTCTGGTAGCGGTAAGGCCGCCATTTGACATCCTAATTTCTCTCCCCCCCCCTCCCTCCCTCCGCCTTTCTCTCTGTATTTCTCTCACATCATCATTTTGCCATCTCTCCAAGGACCTCAGGGCAGCATACCTGAGCTCCACGGTATCCTCACATCAACCCTGTGAAGCAGTCTGAGAAAGTGACCAATCCAAGGCCACCCAACGTTTAAATAGATTTTAGGCTGGGGAGGGGAGGCAAATTCAGGCCCATAGCTACATTGGGGCTTTGGCTTTCTTAGAGACACAGCCCCATAAGAATTTCTCCTGTAAATGCTTTTTTCAATCATTTTAAAACATGTTTTAAAGGTGTGTGCTCCTTTAAGCAAAGAGGGGTGCTGTAGCTGACTAATTCCCGCACTGAGCACAAGGGGGTTGGAGTAGGTGACCTCTAGGATCCCTTCTAACTCTGTGTCAAGAAACTGGTCTCCTTGAAGAGAGTTTTCCTGCCTGAGTGTTAGCTTTCTTGACTCTAGAAGTCATCACCCCCACCTGCCGGCTTGTTATCAGAATTGTTGCTTAGGCTGGCAGGAGTGATGAACTTGCAGCAGCTGAGAACTGTCCTGTAAAGTGGCTGACAGCTTTGCAGTTTAGAGATCTATCCTGGAAACAGCTTTCTATTGCCTAAATGGCTTTCTTCTTCCTGCACTGAGAACTTCAGCCCCACCAGAACAAAATTTGCTGAGAAGGTGAATGACTGTGCCCTCTTCTGTGTCTTCTAGGTTTTCATCGTGGAGGCTCTGGGGAGGAGGATCCTGCTTCTGGCCGGCTTTGGGATCTGCTGCGTGGCCTGTGCGGTGTTAACCGTGGCTCTGAATCTCAAGGATGTGCGTATGCCTTTGCCTGAGGAAACGGGGTGGGAAGGGGGGCCAGGGTCAAAGAAAAGGGGACGTTCAAGCCTGAAGTGGGAAATGCTGCCAGCTGGCCTCTTGTTTCGGAGAGGCAGACCAGGTAGCTTTGATCGAGTCATATTCGTAGCCCTGCCCTCCTGGGGGGTGGGTCTATTGAGAGGGAAGACTGAGCTGAACTTCATAGGATGGAGGCAGCCGGGTGGTAAGGTAACATCGCAACAGTTCACCCAAAATATATGTCAGTAGGCCTTGGGTGCGAGTGTTGCTTCTATACGTTCCTTCCCTGACCACTCTGACGTTTTCCGCAGTGTCAAGTTTCCCTCTGCCTGCTCTTCTGTTCATCTGCAGCTGTCCCTGGTTTCTGCAGGTAATTTCTCCCTCCCGGGCACAAAAACGCAGTTTTCCCCCTCTTGGTGCGCAGCATCCAAATACCCCGTTTCTGGGAATTTCCATGCTGCGGAGCAAGAGGGGGCAAACTGTGTTTTTGCGCCCGGGAGAAATCATCCACAGAAAGCAGGGAAAGCTGTGGATGAATAGAAGGAGGAGGAGGAGGAGATTGGATTTATACCCCGCCCTTCACTCGGAGTCTCAGAGCAGCTTACAAAATACTTTCCCTTCCCCTCCCCACAACAGACACCCTGTGAGGTAGGTGGGGCTGAGAGAACTCTTTGAGAGCTGCTCTTAAGAGAACAGCTCTGAGAGAACTGTGGCTTGCCCAAGGTCATCCAGCAGCTGCGAGTGGAGGACTGGGGAATCAAACCTGGTTCTTCCAGGTTAGAGTCCACGCACTTAACCGCTACACCAAACTGGCTGAGGCAGGCAGGGGAAAACTTGACACTGCAGAAGACACCTCTGACGTACAGGTCAGGTTGGGTGGAGGGGCGGAAGGGGTTAGGCATGTCTTCCATGTCGGTTCCTCACCCTTGAGACATAAATCTAAAGTGCAACCAAATCTCCCAACAGACCGTCTCCTGGATGCCTTACATCAGCATTGCCTGCGTCATCTCCTACGTTATTGGCCACGCCATTGGAGCCAGTAAGTAGACACATTTCCACTTGGTCCCCTCGTTGCCCAAAGGAAAATGTGTCCCTTCTTTACATTTATCTAGCAGGTACATTCATTGGTCGTTAGGACCGAATATATTCCATGACTACACGCATTTACACAAATCATTTTTTTTTTTTTGAGAAATCTCAATTTAGGCGTTTTCCAGATTTCCTTAATGTTCTGTTTTCATTCCCCGATGTTACCGAGTTTTTTTTCTTGTGTCCAGACAACTAACATTAACATGAATAAGCTGTCCCAGTCTTTCATCATTTTATTCCTATTCTTTCCTAAACTAGTTTTTCCTGCACTCCCCTCCCCCCATTATGAAATTGTAATTTATATCTACTCAGGAAGGTGGGGGTAGGGCTGAGTCATTATCTTGTAGGAGTTCCCCAGGCTGTGGACATGCTAATGGAGGAGCTTTCCTGAGGAGGTTCTTGTGTATATGGATTGTTTCCTGTTTCCTGAGGAGGTGCATGTGGATTGGCTGTTGAAACAAGAGAATGACTCAGCCCTACCCCACCTTCCTAAAGGTAAAGGTTCCCTTGCTCAAAAGCCAGTCGAATCCAACTCTAGGGTTGCGGTGCTCATCTCCGTTTCAAAGCCGAAGAGCCAGCGCTGTCCGAAGACATTTCTGTGGTCATGTGGCCGGCATGACTAAACACCAGGGGTCATTTCGTAGAAAAAGAGCTAGGGGAACTCATTAGCATAACTCATTAGCATATGCCACACCCCCTGACATCAGGGGCCCGGCGGTGGACCTGCAAGGCCAGCGGGAGTGCGAGGAAGCCCCACCAAGGCCCTCCCTGGCCCCAGGCAGGCAGGGGTGGGGAGAGGCGGGGAGGAAGCAACTTACCCTCCCTCTTCTCCTGCCTTCTCCTGGCTGAATGAGGGCTGGAAGCGGGGCGGCCGGAAGCAGGGGGCGGGGCTTCGTCATGTGCCCCGCCCCCCTGCACCTCACCCGGGGGGACTGCGTTCCCCCCCCCGAAATGACCTCTGCTAAACACTAAGGCGCACAGAACGCTGTTCCCACTGAAGTGGTACCTAATTATCCTAAGTAGATATAAATTACCTGCCTACCATTTTCTTCTCACCTTGACACAGAGAGTACTCCATCTTTCTGTGTTATACCTCTGAGGATGCCAGTCACAGCTGCTGGCGAAATGTCAGGTCCTACAGTGCCAAGACCACGGCCAGACAGCCCGGAAAATCTACAGCAACTAATGAACTCCGGCCATGAAAGCCTTTGACAACACAGAGGTCTTTCACATCACCTACTGCCTCGTCCTCTTTAACTGGAAATTCCGGGCATTGAACCTGGGACCTTCCGCATGCAAAGCAGATGCTCTCCCACTGAGCCACGGCCCATCCCCAAACCAGTCAGATTATAAGGACTCGGAACTCGTTGGTCAAAACAAGGCCTGGAGAAACATGAGCATTCCAACAGCAACTGCACCAAGAAGGAAATAAAGTTATGTTCAGTTGCCAGGAGACTAGAGAGGAAAATATTAATGCAGACTAATGCCTTTCTAAGTGATTTCATGTGTTCTGAACAAGCGGTGTTCTCAGTTTCTGTGTATCCGCTGCAAACCTGCCAACTGCCTCACTGCCTAAATTTGGTTAGACAGAGATAAACTCTTTTGGCCTCCTCACAGACTCTTGGGATCCTGCACAGGAGATTCTCAGGAAATTTCTTCCTCGTAGTGGCATATGTCGAGCGGAGAGTAGAACGGCAGACGGTTTTAGGAGGAATGCTACTGAGTGCCACACTCCCGCGTTTTAGCCCGAACATGCCCGTTTTGTTTCTGCTTTTCCCTTGTGTGAACTGAACCTGCCAGTCTATCTTTTCACATCATTTCCGATTTCCCTTTTTTCATGTTAAATTTATGCCATCGTTAACATGAACTTTGTGTGCCATGAAAAGACACACAGTCGGGAACCACATGTGATGAAAATTAACCAAACGAAAGGGCTCAGCAACAACAGGCAGAAGCATAAAATGTATGTTCGTACATCCCTGATTTTGAACTTTTCGGATTCCAGAAATACATAACCATTATAGAAAGGGTTTTTTATAATGCCACCTTTCCAGAATGTCAGTAGGCATTATTTGGAATACTAAATTTGGAATAAATGAGGAGAAGGAAGCATCAGTTCAGAAAAGAAACCTTTTAATTCATACACTGAAGCACACATTGAGAACAAATGAGATCCAAATCAGTTCCAAGTCTGTGTACCGATCAGCGTAGACAATACTGAGCTAGGTGGACCAGGAGTCTAACTCGGTATGGAAGCTTCACACATGAATGACCGGACTCCTCATTCTTCTTTTCCCTCTCTTCCTAGGCCCAATTCCAAGTGTCATGATCATAGAGATGTTCCTACAGTCCTCCCGCCCTGCTGCGTTCATGGTGGGAGGGTCCGTTCACTGGCTGTCCAATTTCACGGTCGGGCTAGTCTTCAAGTACATGGAGGTAAGATAATTATGGATGTATGACTTCTCTCCCTCTCCCTCCTTCTCTCTCCTTCCCTCTCTCTCTCCCCCCTTAGCTCAACCAGTGGGAGATTTAAGAACGAGGACACGTAGGGAGCACCGCCCCCTCGACCGCTTGATGCCATTTGTGGAGCAAACCCAGAAGTGACGTCACACCACCCTTGGCGGAACCTCTGTGGTTCTACTTCCTAGAGCAGTGTGACGTCACTTCTGGGTTTGCCCCGGAAATGACATCAGAAATTACGGTAAAGATGACGGTCATGTTTTTCATTATTTCCCCACCCTACCAAACGGCAGTGGGGGTCAGTGCTGCCAGTAGGAAGTCTCCTGCTATAATGAGACAGAGCTCGCTCGGTGAGTGTCCTAGCCAAAGTGCAATTTGAATCCGCCTCTCCCTGTCCTAGCTGGACACTCTGGCCGTGTGCATCCCCCACTTTCACGGTGTTCAGGGAAGTTCTTCTCCACTGACAACAAAATATGATCTTTCACCAGAAATGCTACAGTCCTGGAAGCTTTCTCACTTTATTCTATGGTTACCATGTAAACTGGGCTTAACGTCAGCTGAATCCCAATAGATCTCAAACTCTATGGTGGTTCTGCGGGGAGCAGGGAAGGGTTGAACAAACAGAGCTCCCATCGACTTGCCTCTTCTGACTCCGGTTTCTTTATATCATCTCTAGAAGGGACTGGGACCCTACTGCTTCCTGGTCTTCTGCGGCATTTGCTTGGTCACAGTCATTTACATCTTCCTCATCGTCCCCGAGACCAAGAACAAAACCTTCATGGAAATCAACCAGAGCATGGCCAAGAGGAATGGCATTGAGCTACAGGCTGACAAGGAGGAACTGAAGGACTTCACAGCTGTCTCTGTGCCCTACAGCAAGAAGAATGAGGCAGGAAGGAATAGCGCACTCTGAAACGGCCCCGGCGTGGCCCAGGATTGGCTACCGTTTCGTTCCACTTCCTTCTGGGACCGGCAGTCCTGACGACGCTTGCTGTTCTCATCTGGCTTTTTCCCATGCTGCAGGGTATCTACACCTCATCCCTTACATCCTTCCTGCAACTCCTCATTAGGGGCAAAAACTCCCGCAAGAGGCAGCGGCTTTACTTCAGGCATCCCAGATGTTCAATCGGTGGTGGTGCCACACCAGTTAAAAAGGCACTTGCTTAACCAGAAGAGGCTTCAGAGGAATGAGGCGGGGCTTGCCCCTGTTTCTGAAATGTCCCTTTCCAAGCATGAACAATGAGGCAGGAAGATAACTTGTTGGCAGAGTGGTTTGCCAGCGGGTGTACGTTTAGGAAACGGTTCTGTGATCTTGAAAGGCAGCAGCGGGACTGCTTTAAATACGCTGTCCTTGATTCCCTGTCGCGTTGGGCCAAAGTGCTTTTTGGGATATCTGCTAGGTAAACAGATCCTGCCCTGATCTCGATGGCCAATGCTGGCCTGATCTCATCAGATCTCAGAAGCTAAGAAGGGTCGGCACTGGTTAGTCCTTGAATGGGAGACGACCCAAGGAAGTCCAGGGTTGCTACGCAGAGACGGGCCATGGCAAACCACCTCTGCTCGTCTCTCGCCTTGAAAACCCTAAAGGGTCGCCGTAAGCTGTGACTTGATGGCACGTTCCACCTCCAAACAGATCCTTTTGTTTCCTTATTTTGCCTGCACAAGAATGTCAGGTGAGAGGAATGGCCAGCTCTTCTATTTCCACGTGGCCCATAGACAGAATTGTAAACTGGACCCTCTGAGAAACCTGTGGAGGAAATCCATGCATCAGTTTGAAGGTAGCACCGAAAGGTTCTCAGTCTAATCTTAAAACATGGTATGCAATGCCTGTGGGCCCCAAAGGCAAAAGAGACAGGGTGTTATGTGCGCGGGGATTATGTCCTTTTAAAAAAATTCTTGATTGAGGAATGGCAGAGTGACTCAGTGCAGAAAAGGCATTTGACCGACTAGATTTAGAGTGACGTGTGTTTCACAATTTGTGCGTCATGCAGAAATCTGTGCCTTACAGGGTCTGGGGTAGGGTTTCTCCCCCCCCACCCCAGAACAACGCACAAGAGCACCTATAACGCAAGTCTGGAAGCCCTTCGTTGCATTTCCCCCATGCCAAGGGATCGTGTGACAATTTATTCGTTCCACTGAGGAAGGCGCTGCCAGTGGAAACTCATTCTGCCTGATTACTGGCCTGACATTTGTCACAATCAGCACCTTAAAAAAAATAACCTTCTATAGAATATCAAACTTGATGGGGGTTGCTAATGAGGTCTCAAGTGACAAGATAAACTAGAATAATTCTGAAGCCCTCGGTTGCATGTAAGGGGGTAGGGAAGGTGCCAGATGTTCTGGCACATAAGCAGCCAGCTATTCAAAGTCTGTTATAGCATGGGGCTTATACTCAGCTCCCGTTTTCACTGGGCCAGACCTTACAAGTAATTTATCATTACAACAATGTGGCACTCCAGTGTTCTGAGCTGGGTTGCACTTAAGAGGCACATAGCCTGTTTAAGAGAGCTGGAAGTTGGCATTCCTCAGTTCTGTTATTACACTTCTTTCTATTACAAATCTTCTGTCTAAGTTGTCATCTTGACACATGAAGCTGCCTCCATCAAAGTCAGTGTTGTCTTCTCAGACTGGCAAAAGCTCTCCGGGAATCTCAGACAGAGGAGTTTCACATCACCTGCTGCCCGGTACTTTTAGCTGGAGATGCCGGGGGTTGAACCTGGGACCTTCTGCATGCCAAAGAGATGCTCTGCCACTGAGTCATGGCCCCTTCTCTTGTCTTGGAAAGCTTGAGATTTTAGTACCTGCTTTTCCCCCAAAGTTGTCTTTTTCTGCTGGGCTTTGGACCAAACAGTGCATGTTAAGGAAACGCTTATAAAAAATATGGTGACTTCTTAGAACCATAATGCTGTTTTAGCGAAAGGCGTATTGCACTAACTTGACCTTTCACACTCCCAGCTGTGCTGCTTAACAGTGCTATCCTAAAGACACTTCCCTGGGAGGAAGCCCCAGAACAGGATTCTGAGCAGACCTGCATAGGATTGCTGCCTAAGAGTGGATGCTTGTGGATGAGTGGAGATTTTCATGCACAATAGCTATTGTGAGTTTGGAACTGGATGGGGGGGGGGATGAAGGGGAGGGAAGGCAGCGAGATATAGCTCGTCAGATCTCAGAAGCTAAGCAGGGTCAGTACTTGGAAGGGAGACCACCAAGGAAGGCTCTGCAGAGGAAGGCAGTGGCAAAACGCTTCTCACTTGCCTTGAAAGCCCATTGCTGGGGTCGCCATAAGTCAGCTGTGATTTGACAGCCCTTTACGCACAAACACACACATACACACATGGGGAGGAAGGAAATGGGGTGATCTTATCATGGCGCATGGCCTGCACAAACACACACATACACACATGGGGAGGAAGGAAATGGGGTGATCTCAGGGGTCATTTGGGGGGGGACCTGGGGGGACGCTATCCCCCCGGGTGAGGTGCGGGAGGGCGGGGCCTGGAGCTCCCTGCTGGTGCCCGCTGGAGGTCGCCGCCGGCTGTGGGGAGGACACACTTCCGGTGATGTCAGGGTGTGTGGCATATGCTAATGAGTTATGCTAATGAGCCCCCCCTAGCTCTTTTTCTACGAAATGACCCCGTGATCTTATCATGGCGCATGGCCTGCACAAACACACACATACACACATGGGGAGGAAGGAAATGGGGTGATCTTATCATGGCGCATGGCCTGCACAAACACACACATACACACATGGGAGGAAGGAAATGGGGTGATCTTATCATGGCGCATGGCCTGTTCAAATCAGGACCGATAGTCTGCTGCTACTGAAGGCACTGTGGTTTCCATGAAACCATCTGATGTAAGCGATTTGTGTGTGGTTGATCTGCGACAGCCGGTTCCCACGCACGCAGTGTTACTTGATGGTGCAGTCACTCCATGAGCACGTGTATGAATGTGTTTTTAGACTTTCCAAGTAACTGAGGGCATACTGTTTCTGCAAGCTCTTTGCAAAATAAGTCCCGTGCATGAAGAAAACCAGCTTTTCGAGGAGAAAGACTCTTTCTTAACCTTTCCCCTGATGTGGTAGTCTTCTGCGTGTGGAGAAGATTTTTGTACTGAGTGCTCCACCCACAGCCTGGAGTGGTATAGGCCGGCCAGAGGTTTACTATCTCACTGAGAATTAGTGCAGAGTAGGTCACATCTACCACTGTGGTCCAGCGCCAAGGCCAATCTCAACTCTGTGGTGTCATCCAAGCGCTTTGATTTGGCAGGGTGCTCAGGAGGTTTTGAATGGTAGAGGTGGGCTCCCTAAATTGATTTAAGTCCCAGGAAAGGACATTTTCAGTTTTGTTACTGGTATGCCTGTTGTCAGTTTGCTTTCCTTTGTCCCCTTTCCAAACAGAGCGGCTTGTTTGGTCTTAGTATACCTAGACACAAACACACACACAAGTTTATGATCTAATCACGGATCTAATCTTAGTATTTTTTGGGTTTTTTAAAAAAAATAACAACAACAAAACAGTATTTGTGTATGAGAGAGAGAGAGAGAGAGGAGAATGTTGTAAATATCTTGGTGTGGATTTGTGTGTGGGGTGGGTTTTTTTTTTCCTTTTTAATTTTCCCCCCCTTGGGGTGGAAAATGTATTTTGTACAGATGATCATTGTGTATTTTTGTAAGTGAAACAAAAAGAAATAAAAGCTTCTTTATAAAACCTGAAAATGTGTGAATTTGGTACTGGTGTTCTAAGCCGTCCTGTGCAGGGTCTCACCTTCGGCAGTCAGAAATTCTGGCTCCTGGGTGAGGTTTGTGAGCAGAGACCAGAGCAGATCCAGAGAAGATCTGGAGAGAGTCTGGAGCAGTGACATTCCTTCAGGAACCTGTTGATTTGGGGCAGGCACAGAGATGGAGCCCAGAGAGTCGGGAGATGGTGCCATCTGCAAAAACCCATTTGTTCAACTGAGCTGTACAACTTAAAATCCCCACATTCTTTTCCCATCACCCATTTTATTCTTGCACCAACCCTATGAGGGTAGACTAGGCTGAGTGAGAGAGAGTGAGACGGGCCCAAGGTTGCCCAATGAGCATGGTCAAACAAGGATTTGAATCCAGCTCTCTGCTAGGGTTGCCAGCCTCTAGGTGGGGTCTGGAGATCTCCCGTTTTTACAACTGATCTCCTGCTGACAGAGATCAGCTCCCCTGGAGAAAATGGCTGCTTTTAAGGGTGGACTTTTTTCCCACCATAGAGAACAATGGAGGGGATGGGGGCAACCTGTTTGGTGGCCCATAGAATTGGACCCCCTGGTTCAATGTTCCTGAAACATGGCAGGCATCTTGGGGAGAGGCTCTAGCAGCTACCCTGCAATTTTGGAGCCTCTCTTAAACCACCTTCCCTCCAGCCCCCAGAATACACCCTATGTTTTCGCCATTGACGTCAATGGCCCATAGGATATAATGGGGCCGAACTGCGGGAAGCCGATTCAGAACAGAGAATGATTCGGCTCGCAGCAGCCTGAAAGGGGCCCGAATGGGCCATTTTCGGGGGTGCGTTCGGTTCAGACCAACCGAATGCACATCCCTCCAGCAGCCGGCTTGCTCGGGCTTCCCGAGCTAACCAAGGGAAGGGAAGGTGGCGGAGCAGCTGGAGACATTGAGCCTCAGCTCCACAAGTAATGAGCACTCGAGCCCCGCCCCCAGCAGCCCTCAGGCCGGAGCACCTGGAGCAGTCTTGGGAGGCGGATTGGCAAAAAGCAAAACCAAAAGCGCAGGAACTCGAGAGAACTCCAGGAATGGAGCCGGTTCCTCTTCCACAGCCCAAAATGC